TAATCTCCAAATGTTACGACTTTAATCTCGAAATGTTACGACTTTAATCTCGAAATGTTTCGGCTTTAATCTCAAAATGTTTCGGCTTTAAGCTCGAAATGTTTCGACTATAATCTCGAAATGTTACGACTTTAATCTCGAAATGTTACGACTTTAATCTCGAAATGTTTCGGCTTTAATCTCGAAATGTTTCGACTTTAATCTCAAAATGTTACGACTTTAATCTCCAAATGTTTCGACTTTAATCTCCAAATGTTTCGGCTTTAATCTCGAAATGTTTCGACTTTAATCTCCAAATGTTTCGACTTTAATCTCAAAATGTTACGACTTTAATCTCGAAATGTTTCGACTTATCTCCAAATGTTTCGACTTTAATCTTTAATCAGATTTTTATTTTTTATTGTTTTGTTGCGGTTCAGGGCTTCCGTAGCTAGCGAATGCACACAGAGAAAGCTTAAATAACACCTGCCTAATGTTAAAACTACATGGAAGGAAAATAAAAGGTAAACTTTATTTTAGTCACGTACCGGAAAAGTGTGGGACCTCAAATACACACACACTGGATAGTGTCAGACAAAGATGAATCAAGCCAAGAGAAATACGACATAAAAAGTCACTTTATCTCCCTTATCTATATTCTTATCTATATTCTCAATAACTGGAAGGTTCCACGCTTGACAGAACCAGACAGAAGACATCGCTTCACCTCAGTGTTTAGATAACATTACAGAAACACACAGCCAACATCTCACAGCTTCACACATCATAGATCAGAACTGACAACGCTTCGAATTCTTCTCCACTGACTAACATAAACATTTTCAACCTTAATAAATCAGTGGATTTTGAGTAGAAATATTCCTTGAATCATATAAAGATTTAATAGTTAAATTATATACACTCACCGGCCACTTTATTAGGTACCCCATGCTAGTAACGGGTTGGACCCCCTTTTGCCTTCAGAACTGCCTCAATTCTTCGTGGCATAGATTCAACAAGGTGCTGGAAGCATTCCTCAGGGAGTTTGGTCCATATTGACATGATGGCATCACACAGTTGCCGCAGATTTGTCGGCTGCACATCCATGATGCGAATCTCCCGTTCCACCACATCCCAAAGATGCTCTATTGGGTTGAGATCTGGTGACTGTGGAGGCCATTTTAGTACAGTGAACTCATTGTCATGTTCAAGAAACCAATTTGAAATGATTAGAGCTTTGTGACATGGTGGAAGTAGCCATCAGAGGATGGGTACATGGTGGCCATAAAGGGATGGACATGGTCAGAAACAATGCTCAGGTAGGCCGTGGCATTTAAACGATGCCCAATTGGCACTAAGGGGCCTAAAGTGTGCCAGGAAAACATCCCCCACACCATTACACCACCACCACCAGCCTGCACAGTGGTAACAAGGCATGATGGTTCCATGTTCTCATTCTGTTTACGCCAAATTCTGACTCTAACATCTGAATGTCTCAACAGAAATCGAGACTCATCAGACCAGGCAACATTTTTCCAGTCTTCAACTGTTCAATTTTGGTGAGCTCTTGCAAATTGTAGCCTCTTTTTCCTATTTGTAGTGGAGATGAGTGGTACCCGGTGGAGTCTTCTGCTGTTGTAGCCCATCCGCCTCAAGGTTGTGCGTGTTGTGGCTTCACAAATGCTTTGCTGCATACCTCGGTTGTAACGAGTGGTTATTTCAGTCACTGTTGCCCTTCTATCAGCTCGAACCAGTCTGGCCATTCTCCTCTGAGCTCTGGCATCAACAAGGCATTTCCGCCCACAGAACTGCCGCTCACTGGATGTTTTTTCTTTTTCGGACCATTCTCTGTAAACCCTAGAGATGGTTGTGCGTGAAAATCCCAGTAGATTAGCAGTTTCTGAAATACTCAGACCAGCCCTTCTGGCACCAACAATCATGCCACGTTCAAAGTCACTCAAATCACCTTTCTTCCCCATACTGATGCTCGGTTTGAACTGCAGGAGATTGTCTTGACCATGTCTACATGCCTAAATGCACTGAGTTGCCGCCATGTGATTGGCTGCTTAGAAATTAAGTGTTAACGAGCAGTTGGACAGGTGTACCTAATAAAGTGGCCGGTGAGTGTATATACGTATATATACACCTCTATGGGACTATATACATTTATTTTTATTCATCAAAAATACAGAGAAAAACAGTAATATATTATTACAATTTAAAATAACCGTTTTCGATTTTAATATACTTTAAATTATAATTTATTCCTGTGATCAAAGCTGAATTTTCAGCATCATTACTCCAGTCTTCAGTGTCACGTGATCCTTCAGAAATCACTCTAATGATGATGATTTGTTTTTAATCAATGTTGGAAACAGTTGTGCTGATTTTTATTTTTTTATATATTTTATAACCTGTGATACTTTTTTCAGGATTCTTTGATGAATAAAAGTTTACAAAAAAGAACAGTATTTATTTAAAATAGAAATATACACTGTAAAAAAATATATTTTCATGATTTGTTACAACTTTTCTTTTGTCAAATCAACTTAGATATTTAATATGGTTCAGATAACATAATATTTTGAGTTTCTGTTGTTGAATCTCCATCATTGCGTTAACTCAATTTTTTTATTTCAACAAACTCAACATTTTAAGGCAACCAGGTAACTTACTTTTTTGAGTTAAACTAACAATATTTTTTTTTTACAGTGTACACACTAGGGCTGTCAACTTTAGTCGTTTGGTCGACTAATCGGTCGATGCCGTCTTGGTCGACTGACATTCTCATTGGTCGACCAGGTTGCATTTTTTTTTACCAATATAAAGAAATGTTCATTGATTTTCATTGAGCGGTTCTAGCAGGCCAATCACAGCGCTTGCGGTACGCGTAGAATTGACGCGTTGTTACATTTTTGGAGAGGTGCACGTCAGGGTACCCCGAAGGGTTTTATTAGGATTTTGCATTATTTGGCAGTTTTAGCAGTTATATGTTTTGTAGCGTGTGGTGTGGTCAGGTGCGCAATTGTGACTGTCACTATAGACCTAGGACAGAGCTCCTCACTTTGCAGTTAAAAAAATCACTTAATTTTCAAAGAATTGTATTATTATTATAGTTTTATGTATTATTTATGTTTTTTCGTCATTGTTTTATAAATGCTCTATGACAATTGTTTAATAAATGTTCAATCAAAATGCAAAACATCGCATCTTTTTTTTTTTTTTTTTAGTCGACTGATCGTTGCGCAGGACAGGACTTTGGTCGACTAAGGATTTCTTTGGTTGACTACAGCCCTAGTACACACACACGCACACACACACACACACACATAATACCTTTTTAAGTATAATTTTCCAGACATAGTTTAGACCTAAAATGTGCTTAAAATTTGAACTGAAACGTGACCAGGATGCAAAAGTGAACTCAATTCTATAAAGACTATCAATTTATTTTATCATAGGAACAGAGTCGTTCATTCAAAGCCTCTGAAATGTTTTGTCTGTCGTAAACAAAGCAAAGATACAGAAGTGCGTGTGTGAATCTGGGTTTGCATGCACCACTTTTTCCACAGAAACCTGCAGGCATTTCTATTTTCCAATCGCATAATCAAAAATCTCATGTTAACAGCCGTAACAGCATCCCATATTATTGTGTTTTTTAATATTTCCAACATTTGCATATTCCCACAGCCCATTAAGTCCTGATGAAAGTGTGTGAAGCCCAGCATGCATTCCTCTTATATGAGCACAGGTCTGCTGAACTATTGATGAGTGCGAGTAGACCACTTAAAGTGTCCTGTCCTCTTCCTCTTATTCCATGAAAACCTTCTCTTATACATAATTAACAATCGGCAAACATGCATCCGAACACACCTCCGTGAACAGAGCAGAAGTGGACCATAAAAACACTGTCCTGACTCTAATGTACATTACATTATATTTAAAGTAAACCACCCTTACTGTTCAAAGGTTTGGTCTTCTTTTTGAAAGCAATTCATACTTTTATTAAGCAAGTAATGAAATTGATCAAACGTGACAGTAATTACAAAGATTTCTGTTTCAAATAAATGCTGTTCTTTTGAACTTTATACCAATATCTTTATACAACTTATCAAAAATCCTGAAAAAAGGTATCAGGCACAGCTGTTTTCAACATTGATAATAATCATAAATGATTCATGAGCAGCAAATCATCATATTAGAGTGATTTCTGAAGGATCATGTGACACTGAAGACTGGAGTAATGATGCTGAAAATGCAGCTTTGATCACAGGAATAAATTACACTTTACAATATATTCACATAGAAAACAGTTATTTTAAATCGTAATAATATTTTACTATTTTACAGTATTTTTGATCAAATAAATGAAGCCTTGGTGAGCATAAAAAGAGACTTTCAAAAATGTGAAAAATATGTTTCAAAATGTAGCTACAGATCTCAAACGTTTGACCAGTAGGTGACTATAACTAAATTCAAAGTATTATTTTAACCATGTTGATTTGTTTCTAACATACTTTATGCATAAAAATCGACCCTGCACTTTCTGTTCAACCCCAATTGTGACATTTCACTAATGCACATTATTTCATATTTAAGGGAGTGAGATAACAAAAGTGTTTAGGATTACACGATTCAAACCGAGTTAATGTTTCTCTTTTATATTGGCCTCAACAGACTCTATTATGGGATTTTAAAAATCCCAGCGATCAGTTTCTCTGAGACTTAAATCGTCCTCGTCTCAGTGGATTAACACAGATTTACCATAATGTTCTTCTCAATTATTCAGTGTGATCCTTCCGTACACCCTAAATCTGGATTCGCATGAAGTTCTTCCGTCTGAACACACACGCGACTCGTGATCTACAGCGCTGTAGTCCTTTCAGTGCATGTTGTGTTAACGCTTCTGCTCCATTAGATCCTCTGCATGAGGCACTAAAGCCGGATTCAGGAGAAGACGGATGTGCTTGGGATCGTGACACTTAGGGAAGAGTTAGTGTCGGTGTGGCGAAGCTTCTTACCTTGCATGGTGATGCTGGAGGGTTCTGGGAAGAGAGGGATGAGGAGGAGGTAGAGGAGGTAGATGAAGGACAGTACATTGTACCTGAACAGACATGCTGTGGAGAGAAGACACAAAAACACATATTACAGTTTTTCTCAGTCGCTTTGGTGCATTTCTCACATCACTATTTACATTTGCACAACAGTTAGTTCAACCTCCACAGCATTTAGTCATTTGTGCACATCATAGTAACAATTTCTCATTCCTTCCAACAAATTGCAAATGCTTTTGGACATGCATCAATTGCTTTCATACAACTCTCTGCTCTTTTATAACATTATCATTTGCTTATGTCGTGTTAGTCAAAATTAACTATACTTGTGAATGCTGAATAGTCATTCCATATAAAACGAATAGTGCTCATATCATTGCTTGAGTCATCACATACAAAAACGTTGAACTAGTTGTCAAAATCTGTCAAGCAAATAAAAAAATATATATATTTATTTTTTCTTTCATGAAAATGTCTCCTAAATTGAACAGTTTCTCTCAGGTGAACTTATGTGGCCAGCAGAGATGAACGTATGGATGTGCATGAATGATTTACAGTACTATGTATGTTGTATGTTCAGTTCCAATATGTACTGCAATATTGTTTACAGTTGTGCACAGCTCGACCCAAAGGGAGTTTATGTTTGTTGTAAATAAGGGTGTATTTTTTCTTTTGCACAATGCTGTGAACAAATTAGAATTGCAAAGAGCATATGCAGTAAAAATGTGAAACATACATATTCAGTGTCTTGTACTCAGTTCCCTCACTAAATACAGTAATGTGTAACTTTACTGTAGCTTTAAAATGGCTGTGCAAATAGTATATAGAGCTGTCTTGAGCATTTTCAGGTAGTGCCACCAAGATCTGACTTTTTTGCATTGCAAAACATTTACAGAGTAAACTGTCATAATGAAAACATGACAAAGCCATTTGACTATCTTGTTCATAAACAATGGTGTCAGGACTTTTCATCTTGATGACATTGACACTTTCATTGACATGAATACTTGCTTTTGAGGAATGAGCTATCCATTTTGAGCAAGTGACACGCTTTTGCAGGTTATCAACTAGGTTTTGTAGTTTGTACTAATTGTTTTGAGAACTGGATTAACTGTTGTGCAAATGTAAATAGTGATGTGAGAAATGCACCAAAGCGACTGAGAAAAACTGTATTAGAGTAATATAGAGTAAAAAAAAAACACACATACTGTATTATACATTTATAAATGATCCTCACATAGATGAGAATATGTTCATATATAGAATAGATGGATGGACAGACAGAAAGATAGACAGAACGATAGATAGATAGATAGATAGATAGATAGATAGATAGATAGATAGATAGATAGATAGATAGATAGATAGATAGATAGATAGATAGATAGATAGATAGATAGATAGATAGATAGATAGATAGATAGATAGATAGATAGATAGACAGACAGACAGACAGACAGACAGACAGACAGACAGACAGACAGACAGACAGACAGACAGACAGACAGACAGATAGACAGACAGATGGATGAATGGATAGAACGACAGACAGAACGATGGATGAATGAACAGACAGACAGACAGACAGACAGACAGACAGACAGACAGACAGACAGACAGATAGATAGATAGATAGATAGATAGATAGATAGATAGATAGATAGATAGATAGATAGATAGATAGATAGATAGATAGATAGATAGATAGACAGACAGACAGACAGACAGATAGACAGACAGATGGATGAATGGATAGAACGACAGACAGAACGATGGATGAATGAACAGACAGACAGACAGACAGACAGACAGACAGACAGACAGACAGACAGACAGACAGACAGACAGACAGACAGACAGACAGACAGACAGACAGATAGATAGATAGATAGATAGATAGATAGATAGATAGATAGATAGATAGATAGATAGATAGATAGATAGATAGATAGATAGATAGATAGACAGACAGACAGACAGACAGACAGACAGACAGACAGACAGACAGACAGACAGACAGACAGACAGACAGACAGATAGATAGATAGATAGATAGATAGATAGATAGATAGATAGATAGATAGATAGATAGATAGATAGATAGACAGACAGACAGACAGACAGACAGACAGACAGACAGACAGAACGATGGATGAATGGATAGAATGATGGATGAATGGATAGAATGATGGATAGAATGATGGATGAATGGATAGAACGATAGATAGATAAACAGACAGATAGAATAGCGTGACAGAACAATAGATAGATAGACAGAACGATGAATGGATGGAACGACAGACCAATAAATCAATAAGATCAATAAATCTGATTTTAGGATTAATTTTTTTTCAATCGGTTTTCAAAGTATAACTTCAGGTTTGCATCATTTTGGATCTGCCATGACTTAAAGTACATATAAATACATAAACACCATGATTTTCTGTAAAGCTGCTTTAAAACAACCTGTATATTGAAAGTGCTATACAAATAGATTTGACTTGACATATACTGTATTATTAACATTTTATGTTTTAATATAAAGAGTGAAATGCCCGTGAGAATACGGTCTCGTTTACAGGCCTTTATCCAAGAGTTTTCCAAACTTTCCTGATTCTTTCTTTCCACGGCTTGATTTTAACCTCCTCTTCAGCTCGACTTGTTGTTAATCTCGCATGTTTGCCATTTTATGAGCAGATACTGGGAATATTACACACATATATTTCACAGCAGAAGACCTCAACCTGACAGCAAATACATCCTATTCTCTGGAAATGTCCAAATACAACAAGAATATACCATTACATCACTTACAAATGTCAAAACAGCCAAAATACTAATTATATTGTTTAGGATTGGTAAATATCCAATATCTCTATTCCCTGCTAAAACCCATTTGTGACAGAAAAAGCAGGAATGAGAATAAAAGTGCAGATATCAGGAGCTCAGGGATTTTCCTCCGCTATTATCACTAACAAGAGTCGTAAATATTGAACCACACTGGCAAACTTAAGAACAATATGGAAAGGTGATATTAAAAAGAAAACTAAAATCCAGTAAAAACACAAACAGTTTATGTTCACATCAAATAAAAGGCTCTGAAAAGACTCCAGTTTGTGCCAATTATGGATATAGTTATTGTAAGGAATTTAATGATTCTGCCTCCGATTTAACGATTCCAGACCCTTAATGATTCCATTAACGAGTGTTTAAGTACTATATATTATGCAATACTTATGGGAACATATTATTTACATATATTACAAACCAAAAATAAATCAATAAAACTGTATTTAAACTATATTTTTCACATGTTTGAACAAAATTGCACTTGAATAATACAACCTTGAATTCAATGCAATTCATTCTGGATAAAAGCATTTGTCAAAAGCATGTGTGAATAGAAAAAAATTGAACACAGTCATTATTTAAAAACTAAACACAATGACCTTTAATATTTAAACACTGAAATGAAGAACCAAAAATGTAAGAACCTTTTTTCAATATTAACTCAAGAACCCTGTACAGCCAACGCTATTGTTAAAATAGATATATTAAAATACATAAATACTATCATATAATATCTTATACACACACACACACGCACACACACAACAACCCTGTTGTAAAAAAATATTTAAATAAATTAGAAATTAGAAATTCTAATTAAAAATGTTTGATTAGAACTATACATATTTTTCATTATATATGCATTGCACACACACACAAACAACTCCGTTGTAAAAAAAATTTTAAAATAAATAATAAATTAAAAATTCTAATTAAAAATATTTGATTAGAAATATACATATATTTCATTATATATGCATTGCGCACACACACACACACACACACACACACACACACACACACACACACACACATACGTATATATACACAATTTTGTGTGATGCACAGTAGCCAATATATAGTAATGTATAAGATTAATTAACTATCAACTATGTGCAACAGAGATAATATAATTTGGAGTCTGTAAAAATATTGAGCATTTGACAGAAAAGTGCTGTGCCGTTGGTTGATGCGGACAGCAGACACACCGGTGCGAGAGCGAGATAAGTGCAGGACCACTAAACACAGAGATGGAGGCCATTAAACGCAGTCTGATAGATTACAGCACAGACATTCATCCTGTTAATAAAACCAGCAGCAGCGCACAGAAAACACACCGGGCCGCGTCACCTGAGGCCACAGCGCTCAAACACTCAAAAAAATGTGAACAAGAAGCCAGGGCAAAATATGAAAATGCATCAAATACTGTATTTTTGACAATATTTCCTTCCTTTCTTTGCACTAATGCATCACATACAGCACTGCACAAACACATCTAATCAGATATTTTCTTTTTAACATGATGTTCTGTCATGGACAGTTAACTTGAGATGATAATGAAAATGTGGCTAAATCTAAATCCCATCTTAATTCCTTCACAACGCCTCGGTCATGTAATTCCTTTAGTAGCAAAGCCACACTGACCGCGTTCAAACCATGATCCATCTCAGGAATAATTGATGTTTCTGGAGAACTGAAAGCCTTTTCAGAAGAGCTCAGAGTGACAGCAGGAGAACTACTACACTTTTACACACTTCTGATCGAAGACCTTTAGAAAAGACCCTTCAATAGGATTCAACCTGTTCCTCAGTTCATAAAAACAAACAAAATATGTATTTTGAGTATCGAAAAAAATGTGTGTAGAATTTTCCCTCAGACACTTCGAGTAAATTTCACAATTAATTGGATGGATGGATGGATGGATGAAGTTTATAGCTATACACACTGATATATAGCGATCAAAATAGAGTAAATCGCCTTTTAAAACGTGACGCTTCAAATAAAGAATGTATCCTTAGTTACATCGTTAAACCAGTAGGTGGCGACAAGTGACTGTTAGAAAAAAATAAAGATTTGTCATTGAATTTTTCATTCAAGAGATTTGTTCAAAAATGCTGATTTATCCAGTAATGAAACAAGTGAGTCCTTATGAGCGAGTCATTCAACATTCATTCAAAAACGCAGATTTATCCAGTAATGAAACAAGTGAAGTG